AAAAAAAAAAAAAAAAAGAGAGGAACGTCGCAAGGACGATCGAAGCGACACACACAGTTCCGAGTAGACCGAGCACTAAACCTCCAATGGTGTGCTCGCCGAAATACGTGAGAAACAATCTCCTCGTTTTATCTCTGTCTCACGTTCACCAATGCGTCACACATTCATCACACCCGGGATTCCCTGGCAACCAATGGTTCGTATTTACGTCATTTGTAAGGGAATGCAATTTCTTAACGTTAGTACGCGCGCCCGCACATGCTTGTGGAAAAGAACGTGCTTGCGAGAGATCAGCATTACGACATAAAAACGTATAATAGAACTCTAGTTAAGGAAAGAACAACTCGAGTTTATTTGAAATGATTTTGCAATTTTGCAGTTTGTGCAAATCGTCTCTACTGGTAATTTATCAATAAGATATTTCCCAAAGCAATGAGAATATCATGGAATTTCCCTTTTGAACGATTTGAAGAGTAAATTTTTATTTTAAGATCACACTAAAGGGAGAATTAATAAGACTCGCCTATAGACGTTCTACTTCAACTACTTTATCTAGGTGAACTTTATGAAATTGAGCACACACAGGACTCACACAACTGGGATCGTTACATCGATTATTTAATAACCGAAAAGAATATACACTTTGTTCCCTTTTCCCTATCTTTGCAGGATAATGCTTTATTGATATTTCATGAATTCCACGTTATTTACACATATATAATGACGTTTATATTTATTCTACATTTCAACTTGCTGTTATTATTATCCATCATTTTGAAAGATTTCATGATATTCAAGAAAATACAAGGAAGCGTCTGTCACTGAAATATCACTTGAATTAAAAAAAAATAATATTTTTCGCGTATAATTTACGAAACACCACTCAGTGTTGACAAGTTGCAAAAAGATTGACATTTTTCAACCATTATGAATATTTCTTATCGCATGACTCATAATCTATGCTTACATTGACGTATGTTTAAACAAACAAAACTCTGTCGAAATCCACCTCGCGCAGATATCTCTGCATATGCTTCAGTATCGCAAAATAATTAATATTAAGATATCAAATTTCACAGTTGATCGAATAATCATAATTGACGGGGATAAGAGAGAATTCATTGCTTTTTACAATTTTGTAATTGTAAGTGTAGAATTTACTAGAATTTCACAATTATTAAATCCTCCTAACACACTGATGACGCGAAAATTCATCATTGTTATCCGTTTCAAAATGGATTTACAAGACGTTATAAATGGTTCAATTTCTCTTCAGAAATGCTATTAAATCAATTGTTCCATGAATTGAAAAATTCATATAAAAAATTATATTGTGTATACGTTGCTTAAATTAGATGCTTGCTTCAGAACGTTATCATAAATTTCAGATAATTCTATTTATAATAGAATAAAGTATTTCATTACGATTGATAAAATGACCCTACATCTATAGGGCGGGAATCTTTTTATATTTTTTTAGCTTTACACAACTATCGCATGTGTTTCTCAGTAGTGAGTGCTTTTCCGTGTTTGAATACTAAAACCTTTATTTCTTATATTTTTCTATAATAATGCATTTTAAAATATTCTTTGCATGTTAAAAACTATAAATTTTTGTGCGAAAAAGTAATTCGTATCTTTTTTCAAAATTTCTTTAAAGAATATTAATCAGCTAATATTCTTTCCGTTTTTTCCAGCGTAACGTGATTCAAAGAAGAGACGCGATATCGTCCCGTCAAACACGATTCCAAACGATCCTACGCCAATGTGTTAATGCAATTTATGTAATATCATTAAAAAAAAAAATGTCATATAAAAAACAAAAGATAAAATAAAAAAAATGAACAAGCTGTTGAATAAAATTAAAAGGGAAGATTATTTATCAATTGGTAGTTAAAAATAGCACTGATAGCCTGTTGCAAATTAAATAAGATATAAAAATTATTCGCACCACATGGTATAACAGGCTGCAGTATTCTCTTCAGTAGATTACCAACGTATTTTCAGATAATGATAGAATAACGGTAACAGTTTTACACGCCCAAACATTAAATTCAGAGGCGTAGTATTCGCTTTTAACATCGTAATAAACAAGTCAGTCTTCGTTTCATTAATCATTTAACACGTTATTAAACAATAAATTATTGAATGATATCGTGTTAAAAAATTACGAGATATAGATCGAATGTTATGCCATAAACAAGTAGAATAAACTATACAAATATGTTACATTACCGCGAAGATGAAATTAAATATGAAGAGTAGGTATTTAATCATTCCCATTCCGCAACTCATCTTGGTAGCTTTTTTTCTTTAAGTGACTTCTGTTTCAAGAAAAATCCGTTAAAGCTTCGAAAGACGCGCAAAAAGATGCTCAACAGGTTAGGTTGCAGACGGCACAATAACAGCCACCACACTGACGTCCCGCGTTTAACTGACACTACAACCGGTACGCGTTCCAATCATGAAGCGCAATAGCGCCGCACCCGTCTTTATCTAAAAGATTAAATAAACTATTGCACGAACTTCATGTCATTTCTAATAATGCCAATGATACTGAAAAATTAAATTATGAAATATCAAAATCATTTTAAAGTTCAATGATATTTTTAGCGATCAACTTTTGTACTTCTTGAACACTTCAATTGATCAACTTCCGGCTTAAGAAACGCAGCAAAGATTTCCATACTACAATTTAAACTTAAGAGTTTGTCATTTAATTTAAGTAATTTTAATTTGTTTTATTAATTAGTTAATTTTAAACGTATAAAAATTACGAAAATTGGATTTAATTGTACAATTATTTACAAATTTGGTTGTAATAAAATTGTACAAATTTTTATACAGTAAAAGTTATGTCTTAGTTCAGTTGAATATGTACAATAATTGTAAATTAAATATTACTCGCATTCTTGGTA